GGGGTTTAAAATCTCCGCTAGCGGGGCGCCTGGGTGGCACAGTCGGTTAAGCGTCCGACTTCAGCCAGGTCACGATCTCGCGGTCCGTGAGTTCGAGCCCCGCGTCAGGCTCTGGGCTGATGGCTCAGAGCCTGGAGCCTGTTTCCAATTCTGTGTCTCCCTCTCTCTCTGCCCCTCCCCCATTCATGCTATGTCTCTCTCTGTCCCAAAAATAAATAAACGTTGAAAAAAAAAAAATTCAAATGAACATGTTAAAAAAAAAAATAATAAAATAAAATAAAATCTCCGCTAGCTGTGCACGAACCTCTCTCTTACCTTGCAACGCGTAAGACATGGTACCAACTCGCTTCACCATGTTCTGTTTGTCCTGTGGGGTGATCTTACTAGTTGCCACCAGTTTGTCACTTTCTTTCACTTTTTCTATCGCTGCCTGTGAAATACAAATGCAAGAGTATGAATAAAACAGAGCTAAAAGGATTAGCCATTAATCTAAAATAGAACAGTGCCAACATATTCTCTACCTGACTGGCTACTCAACAAGAAAAAAAATGTCCCCACAAAATAAGAACACAGGAAAGCACCTAACTGTAACTTCCTGTAAGTCGCTTGGAAGCAAAAAGGTTGCTTTTCTTGAAATACAGAACTAAGCTAAAATGGGACTGTTTAACGCCACGACAGAATAGAAAACCAAACAGCACTCTTATTTCTGTAGTATCTGTGAGCCAGAGACAGGGCCTGGACAAGAGTGGTATGGAAGAGGGAAAGAGGCATTAGCAGTTTGCAAAGTCGTTTGATCAGGGACACGGACGAGCGCATGCGCCCAGGGCCTCTCGCCCTCTGCTGTCCTGGAGCAGCGGGTCACCAGCTTTACTCTGGTTTCTGCGAGGAGCGCTGTACCGATTTCAGATTAATACTCACATGGAGGTAGCTGTGAAAGCTGCCAAATGTTTCCCACTCCAGGACCATCAGAGAGCTCATTAGAGCTGTCTGGAAGGAAAAACTTCACACTCGCGCATACATCAGGCTCCATGCCCAAAACTCTTAAGTGCTGGCACCAATCCCTACAACAAGCTAACCCTTCTAAGCTGGGTTTTGTTTTTTTTTTTTTTGAGATTTTTATTTTATTTAATTTCCTCTCGGTTTTATTTATAATTGACACACAATATTGTAGGAGCTGACGTATTGTATATATTGCAAAACGATTACCATGGTGCTATTAACATCCCTCACCTCACGCGGTTACAAGCTTTTTTTTTCCCGCCCCCTTATGATGAGCATTTTTAAGGTCTACTCTCCCAGCAATTCTACTCCTGGGCGCGTATCTGAAGAAAATGAAAACATGGTCTCAGAGCGATAACTGTACCGTCAGGATCACTGCAGCGTTACCCACGACAGCCAAGATGTGGCAACACCGAAGTGTCCGGCGACGGGTGGGTTGTAAAGAGAATGTTCTGAGTTTTGTATGAAAAGATCTGAAGTTGCACAAAGCTTCCTGTTTACCTACGCCACCCCCTCCTGACACTTCCGTTATCAAAGTCAAAGGCTAACGGGGCCTCGTGCCAGGACTGTTAGGGTCACAGACCAGCCCTCTGTGGAGATTTTCCTAACAAACCCAAGTACATCACAATACCCTAGAGAAGTACTAGAGTGGATTAAATAAGTCCACATTCTGAAATAATACAGAATGTGAAACAGAGAAAAATTAACCAGAATCAAAATGTGAGGACACCCTAAAACATTTCTAAATTCAGTTTAAAAATACCTTTACGATGGGAACTACACAGTTTCCTTCTTATTACCCTAAAAATATAAAATTGAGGTTGACCATTGAAGTTTTAGTCAGGAAGCCCTTCATCAGGCCCAGGGACAGAACATCTTATTTCATATCAATAGGGAAGGATCTCAGAGGACTTGCCCAAGCAGCTTACAGGGGTCTCACAAAGGGAAAGCAGTATTCCTAACATTGTCTTCAACTTCAAACAGCAGGATTATTTTGTTTGATACTTGACCTAAGCATGTGCATAAAGGAGCGTTTTTCATATTTTTGTTTCCTCAAAATTATTTTTTATAGAATCCAAAAAACTAGAAACTCCCCATGATCTAAACGTGTTACGGGGACCTCACTATTTAAACAGACCGAGCAGTTTCCAGCTTATTTCGGAAAGCCCCTCCTGACTCAGGGCTGTGCTGACAGACAGGGACCGCGCAGGTGGCCGTGAGTGGCAGCCGGATTCACCCGCGTCATCTTCTGCGATCAAATTACCTTATGGGCGCCAATAATATCAGGGAAGCAGCCAAGGAAACCTTTATATTCATGATTGCATTCCATGAGGAAATGGAGATCCTTCTTTGGCTGTAATAAGACACAGATCGGTTATTACTGGCAGAGAAATCCAGGCAACGGAGGACAAGAAAACAGTCATACCTGAGGGCTGTGCCAGCCAAGCCCCCAGGTAGTAGTTACTACGGTCAAGGGCTATGCATTCAGCCTAGTTTTCCTGTAAGAAAACAACCCTCCAAGGCTATTACACTCTCAGTTGTAGATTGAAGAGAAAATGATAGAACATCAGATAATTTTTAGGTTGGTTGGTAAAATCAGCTATTTTGAGGTGGCTCAAAATATAACATTATGTGGGGAAAAAAGCTAGTCAATACTGTCTGTTTATATATGAGCAAATAAGATGTAATCAATGTCTCAATTTTAGCAGAGAACGTAAAATATAATTAAAAATCTGGCAACCACCTTAAGTGGCAACCTAAAATTTTTAAATTTTTTTGAATTATAATTTTTAATAGTTATGTTATGCACAGTTCTAAAAATTAATCTCTTTATAACAAGCAGAGGTAGTCAATGACCAACATGAACGCGCGTGCACAAGGATATATCTCAAGAACTGAACTAAAAACTTTTTTTTTTTAATTTAGGGATTTGAAACAACATACATGGTTATCCCCCATTAGGGAATTTCTGATCTGTTGTCTATACAAAAGAGCTGGAGTTGGGCCACTGAAGACCCCAATAAAAGCCACGTGGCTGTTACAAGGACCTGCCTTTCCCAGGGGCCACAGCAGGTATGTTCTCCTCGTGAGCTGCTGACTGCTGAGATCCTTACGAGGCAGGCTCTCCCATCACCATTTACCAGCTGAGTGAAGCAAGGCTCAGACAGACTAAGGGTCCAAACAGTGACTTGAACAGTGTTCTTGCTATAATGTTCCAACCCCCTGTGGGTGAAGGATGGATCCAAGCCATCGACACCGGAAGGTATTCCTTTAGTTTTTTTTCTTTTTATTTACTTATATAATTTATTGTCAAATTGGTTTCCATACAACACCCAGTGCTCATCCCAACAGGTGACTTCCTTAATGCCCATCACCCACTTTCCCCTTCCCCCCCCACCCCCCATCAATCCTCAGTTTGTTCTCTGTATTTAAGAGTCTCTAATGGTTTGCCTCCTTCCCTCTCTGTAACTCTCCTTTAGATTTCCTGAGGATACATTCATCTAGCACTTTTGCTTAACCAAAGAAAAACTATTACCAAATACCATTAACAAAGATACACAGGGATAGCAAAGAGAAGGATATCTATTTGCGAAGTTTGTTTTAAAATAGGTTAGGTTAAATATGTGGATTCGACAGCATGAAATCTTTACTGGAATCGCGTGTCTAAGTGGATACCTGTTCTGCCACAAGACCGGCAATTTCTTCGTAAGTCTTTCCTGCTTCTGTTATCGCAGCATTGAGATCCGTTTCGCCTGGAAATCATTATAGCGACATCAGTGGTCGTAAGTTGCATTTTCACTTCATTTATTTTAAAAATTTTATTCTAGAAAATCCTAAACGTTTCAAAACCAGAGGATAGTGTAATGAGTTGCAATCTACCCGTCACCTGGCTTCCCAATGAACAGCTCATGGCCAGTGTTTTTTCACCTGTACCATCCACTCCTTACCTCCCTCTTTCGCTGGCCATATAACAGTTCACTCATAATTTTTACCTAAAAGATAAGGACTCTTCAAAAAGCAAGGACGGGGGCGCCTGGGTGGCGCAGTCGGTTAAGCGTCCGACTTCAGCCAGGTCACGATCTCGCGGTCCGTGAGTTCGAGCCCCGCGTCAGGCTCTGGGCTGATGGCTCGGAGCCTGGAGCCTGTTTCTGATTCTGTGTCTCCCTCTCTCTCTGCCCCTCCCCCGTTCATGCTCTGTCTCTCTCTGTCCCAAAAATAAATAAAAAAAAAACGTTGAAAAAAAAAAATTAAAAAAAAAAAAAAAAAAAAAAAAAAAAGCAAGGACGATACCAACACCACACTGTAGGAAAGACAAACTGTTCCCGACATAAATTATCCAGGCGGTGTGCAGCTCCCTGATGTCCGAAATCAAGGTGGCTGCTTTCAGGATGCAAAGAACGTCCAGGTGGCCGAGAGCCTAAGTGTTTCTTCAGTCTATAGGCTCTTTCTCCTCCCTCTTTGTTTTCTTGCAAATTTCTTTTTCGGGTGTTGAAGAAACCGGGTACTTGTCTTGCTACCTACAGTCTGGGTTCTGCTGACTGTCTCTGTGGTGATAACACAGTCCTCGGTTCCCTGTACAGTCTCAATTTTTAATTTGAGGAAAGGTTTGTAAACTGTTGCTTTTCCGCTTCTATTACTCTTTCTCGATCGGAAGCACTTCTATAAAAAGGAACCTTCCTTTATCAGCTATCTGCTTACCGTGAGGTACTGGACGAGAAAAAGCACATTAAATGCTTCCTTCTCTTTACCATTTTCAGAATAATGAGTTGATTCCCTAACCAGTCCCCTAAAGGTAACGGAGATCAACTTTTTAAAAAAGCACTGAAATCTGGATTTAAACGTACTCGATAAGCTTCACTTCACAGAAAGTATTACTTGCACTAATGCTCAAATTTTCTCTTTACAGCCAGCGGAAGGCTCTTCAAACTGGCATCTGAGTTCTTTCTGCTGGGAGCTCTGGTTCATGTGGGTGGAGCGCAGTGTTCAGAAATCCCCCTGTGGGTGGCGCTAGAGGCGCTTCTCACTCCTGGATTGGATATTTCGGGGCCTTTTCAACGTGCAGAGTGAGGCAAGCTGCATTTTTTTAAAAACAGGGAAATCATAATGAACTCATATCGACATTTCCAATTCAAATTTAGGACTACAGGATTTTTCATAATGGGTTTTAAAACTTTTGATCTTTATGTTTCTCTCTTTTAAAACTTGGTTCCTAACAACAGTAAAAGAATTACGTATTTGCTTTCCCCCACAGAACGTAAAATAGTTTTAGAAGCTTTAGAAAAACAATACCAACATTTTATGCTAACTACATGATTACTGAAAAACGAGATTTTTGAAGTCTTTTTTGGCTTTAAGACACCTGCTACTAGGGACGTATAATCAAAATTCGTTGTTTTAAGGTGATCTGAAGTAATTCTCTACATGGTTATGCCCTCCTCTTGATGCATCCAATGATTCATTTTGCTTTTGCTTTTTAGGAATTTTTTTTTTTTACATTTTCATTTAAATTTGTTTTCTAATAATAAAAGTAAAACAACAAATATAAAAATAAAACATTCACATCGTTCCAAAGTAGAATCTATGAAACAAGCTAAAACTAGAGGTCTAGAGGTTTGGCTTCTGTACCTGTTCCTCTTCTCCCCCAAAGATAACCATTTAAATATTTTTATCAGTTATTTTTCCATGATAATCCATAAGGATATGAAGCGCCTCATAGATCTGTGCAAAGGCCATGCTAACGGTCTCCGTGTTGTTCCAGTAATTAGTTCATGTATTCTTCAAGGGAGTGTGGAAAGTTATAGTTAACATAATCCAAGATGTTCTCAGGAACTGGAATCATCTGAATTACTTCAAGATCAAAGAGTGCAGTGCTGCCCCAAGAAGCCAGCACGTGTGGGCAAAGGAACGCGTGATGAGACACAGAACTCAACTCTGCTGACCTTCATTTGCCTTGAAAGGTCAAAGGCCAGTCTTGAGAAGTTCTTTCAAAACAAGATCTCTAGTAAGGTGAATGATATTCAACACAAAGTGTATGACATTGAGTACTTTTAGTAGTTGGCAAAGTGCCACTTGCAACCGGAGTATTTGACAACACACTGAGGATAGTGTTAAGCACAGAAAACATGGAGAAAGCAAACAGTGCTTCTCTGAGTGTGGTCTGTGGTTCGGAAGGGAATACACAGGTGGGCGCCGTGGAGAAGGTCATCTCTTACTGTCTCCTCCCCTCTAGGATGTCGTGATATTGTCGGGGCCTCACTCTACTGCCCCCCTGCAGCCCTCTCTATCCCTCCTTTCTTCTAGGTCGCTTCAGGCTGAAATTACAGAAGACAAACGCTGGAGAGAAGCTGGTCATTTTGAAGGTACACAGACTCCACTAAAATGCACACACAGAACGAGAAATATATGGGAAGATTTTATAAAGTTACCAAAGAAGATCTTTAGGAACCATTTCTCAGATTACCGAATGTCTTCTGTTTCCCCCTTTTCAAGACTTTTGGTTCAAATTATCTGCACCCTTTATAAATATCACATTTAGTGAAGAGGGAGTGATGTGTCTTTCCCAGCATCGACCAGGAGAACCAGTGAGTGAACTGCTGTTTACACATTCTGTGATCTAGCTCTGAATGATTTTTAAGTTTTATACGTGACTTCAAGGGACAAAAGACCTCAAATATGGGTCCACGTATTATACAAACTTGGAAGCTACTGGAAGGATCATTGTTGGGCTTAAAAATCTAATCTTGGAGCGGTTCCATTCTAGCTTGGACGGGGACACCTATAAGACTGCTGCTCTCAACGTAATAATATCACATAAACTCAAAAGCCATACTTTCCCTTGGAGTCACTGAAGCACTGTAGGAATGAAGAAATCCAAATGAACTAAAATCAGAAAGGGCTGAGCCTGCCACGCGGGTGGAAGAGGGAGCCCTCCACAGGCAGAGGAGCCCCGGGGGGACGGGAGGCGCTGCCTGTGGGCTGTGAGGGACTAGAGCCTGGGGAGCCCCAAATGCAGGGCCAGTTCCCCCACACGGGTTGTGTGCAGGAAGAGGTGATGGAGGGAAGTGAGGGCGGGGCCGGAAGACACCCAGCTCTCAGGTGAGGCTTAAGGAAGGCGCAGATTCGGGTGAGCTCTGACATGTGAGCGCACGATCGGGGTCCAGCATCTTCAGAACAAAAGCTCTCATCCCGTCAACGCACTACAGAACCACAAAGACGAGCGTGCTCTCAGGGTCTTGCCGGCACCCAAGCAGCGGATGCGGTCCTAGACTTGGCCTCTGCATCAACCCCCGTGGCACCCTGGCCAGAAGCTTATCTTTCCAGGCCTACGTTCCTCATCTTGAAAGAGGGGGCCCGATTAACTAATCTTCAACGCTCCCATCAATCTGAAAGTTGGGATTATAAGACACAATTCAGCCAGGCCAAAAAGAAATATTCATACACAGCAGCCCCAATACATTTTGGTGAGAGACTAATTTCTCGTTCCTGAAGATACTCAGACACTGACGTCCAAAGACCTATCTTCCCTAGGAATTGGGATACAGAACTCGGCCGAAGTACCAATTCTATCATTTCTGTAAGTGATGGGACACACTCAGATTTAAGAACTGCCACTCACCTGACAGATACCTGGACTCCCTACCTGCTCCACAGGGCAAACTAAGCAAAAGCAAACCAAAACATAAGGGGAAATGGCTGGCTTGTTCTCGCAAGTGTGGGCAACGTAAACGTACAATGAATTCGAAAAACCACAGGTAAGATCTACAACGTGGGACAAGTTGAAAATAATTATAAGCTGCGGAGAGACAGAAAGCAACGTGAATTTGTCACTTAGTCAAATTTTCCCTCCAAACCGCGTTGGTGAATTCTGGCCTTTGTAACAGGAAGACTGGACTGCTGAGTTTGGCGGGGAGATGGGAGCCAGGGCGGAGGCTGACGTATCACGGCTGCCCGTTCGAGCGCAAGAGCTGTGCCTGAGCACAAAGAAAGGCGGAGAAGGCCAGCAAGAAAATACATAGTGGAACAACCCTCCACTCTTCTCAGAAGCAATGAAGTGAGGTTGCAGGAGTCCTGAGTGGAGCAGCCCAGCCAATTTAAGTGTCGGTGACAAGGGCCCTTCACTGCGGAGTCTCTGTCTGCCTACAAGAGGCTGGAGGGGTGGCTGGTCTGCGAGACACTTATGGCCCCAAGACAGATAGACACAGACGTACCTTGATAACCGCTGGAACTAAACACTGTTGCTAAGCTCTGCAGAGCCTTTCCTATCTTCTGATACTCCTTGGGTAATGCTGGAAGAGAAAAAGGAGTGCACGGTTAACCAGTCCTCTGAGCAAACTGAAATGGGCTTTGACTATTTCCTAAAAGTGATTACTTTTATCATGAAAGAAATTTGACATGATTCAAAATAGTCTATATTCTTTAATAAAATTGTTTTGAACAAAGGATTTTTTAAAAGTAAAATTCATTATTCACGGATGGTGCAGTAAATGGCGGATGCTATTATTATTAACCACCGTCACCATCGCCCGCATCCTTTGGAGCGACCGGGAGCTCATTTGGAAGATGTCTGGCTGACAGAGGACTTTCATGTACGCCACCCGATCACCACAACAACCCATCTACCGGGTGGAGACTCCACATCTTGGTTTTGTGGGTTAGAAAAATAAGGCTCTTGGGGCGCCTGGGTGGCGCAGTCGGTTAAGCGTCCGACTTCAGCCAGGTCACGATCTCGCCGTCCGCGAGTTCGAGCCCCGCGTCAGGCTCTGGGCTGATGGCTCAGAGCCTGGAGCCTGTTTCCGATTCTGTGTCTCCCTCTCTCTCTGCCCCTCCCCCGTTCATGCTCTGTCTCTCTCTGTCGCAAAAATAAATAAATGTAGAAAAATAAGGCTCAGATAAAGTGAATGGGCTTGCCCAGGGTCACATGGCCAACAAATGGTGGGTTTGGCACGTGTGATTCCAAATACATTGCTTTCCTCACTGTTATGTATGTATGAGCGATTATTTGCATAAGTTAAATAAAATAAATAAAATAAATAAATAAATAAACAAACAAATAAATAAAAAATAAGTGAAAGCAGCAACGTGTGGAGAAAAATACGGCAGAAGGACTCAGGACCAGGGAGGGGGGTTTTAGCTTGCTCATCTGTATAACATGATTAATGAAATGATCTCTGAGGTCCTTCTAGTGCTAACATTCTAGAATTCTACAGTCACTCTGGAAAACTCTGAGCAGAGTCTATCTTAGGCTATTTTCTCTGCATCTGTAAGTAATCCCTTTCAACACACCAAGTGCTTTTCAAAAGAAAGCCTTACTTGCATTTGAAGGCTTAGTGCAGGGTCTATCTTAAAGAAGAAAGATTCAAATGTTTCTTTAAAAACATCTAGTCCAGAGAAATCTGAAATATGGTCTATAAGCCGCAATAATCAGGAGACATGAATTCAAACCATATTGGCTTAATTTTAATAAACTGTTCACCTTTTTGTGACTCAGTTTTTGCCTCTATACGTGGGATTAAAGACACCTGCCACGTGCTTTACCACACCAAGCATGTGCTACATTTCTCACTTTACAAATCAGGAATTTTAAGACACTCTTGTGAGAGAAAAGAAGAAAGAAGATATGCTTAAATTAAATCCCAAATCAAGTGCTTCAACTCTCCCTTTCCCCCCCACACCAAAAAGGGCAGCCTTACACCAATATCCTCTATTTCATAAATCTGGCCTTATGGCTCATATGGAACCTGAACTTGACTAGATATTAGACATAAGGGATTTAACTCTTTAAAAGAAATCATAAACCCAGATTTTTGTGATATCCTTAAAATGCTGATTGGAGGATTTGCACTTGAAATATTTCTAAAAAACAGGGAACATCTTTCAAAGAATCTACGATTGAAATGATTTATTATCATGGCCTCAAAAGAGCTTACAGCTAAAATTAATTATTTTAAAATGAAATCACTGTTTGAGTGAATGTCACTCCCCCTTCCGTGCTGACTTAGCTCCCTGTGACCCAAGGCCTGAGCGGGTTTTCTTTTCTAGTGTTGCATTTGTATACATTGCCGTGTGGGGCTTACTTCTATATTTAGGGTACAGCATCATATGTCTTTGCCGTGACAAAGGAGCAACTGTTATCACTCCCAGCGTCTGCCCCCCGGGCACGAACAGCTGGCACACAAGTGGTTTTGTTGATATAAAGTATTATGTGAGTGGCAGAGGGCCATTCGGTATAAACAGGGCCTTTTTTTCCTGCAAAGGACCAGACGGTAAATATTCCAGGCTCTGTGGGGCCACAGGTTTCTGTCAAAGGTACTTGACTCTGCCACTGTAATGGGAAAGGAGCCACGGACAGTACGTATGTAAGCGGGCATGGCCGTGTTCCACTTTTACAAAAATAGGCCCCAGGCCAGATTTGGCCTGCTGGCCACAGTTTGCCAATTCCTGATGTAATAAGGGCTTGGACTGAATAGATCTTAACACTGCTATGAACTTTGCTGTGCTAGGGTCTGGATTTAATAGATCTTACTATTGCTATTAACTCTGCTGTGGTATCTTAATAATTCATTCACAAGTTACCCCACATTCAGTTTCTTATTCATTAAAATTAGTTTTTGACTTCCAATTTTATTCTTTTCCCCTCATTTAAAAGAAAAATACCACCTGTTAAAAAACTTTACAAAACGGATAATTAAGCTCCTTCCTATGCTGAGTACCATAGTTTAAAAGTGGGTATCATTTTTGTAATTCAAAGTAGAAGCCATTTTATTAAAACACACAATCAACCCCCCACCCCACCCGCACCCAAACCCTGAATACAACCAGTATTCTTATAGGGTGTATGAGCCGAAAGCCAGAAAATTCTTAGATACTAGCCTCATGGCTGACTTACTAGCCTTAGTACTAGGTTAGGTGAGTTAGGACTCACGGCACCTCTTTCTCCAGAGATCATCACAAGCGACCATGATGAGAGCTCAGCTCTCTCTCTCTGGGGCTCTGGAGGCCTTGTGGCAATAAGGGCGGGATGGACGCAAAGAGGAGGAAGCTCCCGAGAGTCTATGGCCATGGACAGCCACGTGAGCACTTGTGCAGCGGTGACCGGGTCTGTGAAGCCTGCTGGGCCTTAGAGGTGGGAGGGCAGCCGCGGGGTGTTGACCCCATGGCCAACGCTTGACTGCTTCTAGCCTGGGCTATGTGACAAGAGCTGCAAGGACTTGACTGCAAGACAACAAAGGTTCAGCAGGATGAGGTCCAGAAACCAAGGCCGCGTGGGGAGGGGGCCGGGGGAGGTACGAAGTCTTCGAGAACAGGGAAGTGCAGGCAGACGGCAGTGGCTGGCGGAGCACCTGCCCTCACCCTGCTCCTCGTCTGACCCAGCATCTTGCTTTCTCTTAAATATTAGGTCTGTAGCCACATACAGGTGGTCCCTGACTTAACAATATTTGACTTTATGATGGTGTCAAAGTGGTATGCGTTCAACAGAAACAGTACTTGGAATTCTGAATTTGGATCTTGTCCTGGGCCGGGGACACACGGGAGGATCCTGTCTGTGATGCTGGGCAGCCGGCGACCACGGGGGTAAACAGTGGGCACACGACACGCATTCTGCACCCATGCAGCCATTCTGTCACTTTGAGTCCGGTATGAGATGCTCAACCGTCTCGGTCCTGTGTGAGACGTCTCTGCCCAACTGCAGGCTGATGCAAGCGTCCCGAGCCAGGGGGGCCAGGCTAAGCTGTGAAGTTCGGGAGGGTAAGTGTATTGAACGTATTTTCAACTTAGGGTGTTTTCCACTCAGGATGGGCTTTTTGGGATGTAACCCCGTTGTACGTTGAAGAACTTTCTATAAACAAATCTTACCAAATGGATAAACATTACAACGTAAAATCATGACATTAAAAACAACAAGCATTCTCTAAACACGAAGAAAAGATTCATTATTCACAGATTATAAACCCCAAATAACTAGAAACAGTTAAGGGGACACATTTTTGTAAGAGTTCTTGAACTGGATTTGTTGGGGTCCGTTTTCCATCATCTGATTAGGGCTGACCAGTGAGGGTCACCAGAGAGCCATGGGTATGACATTACTGCACAATGTGCATTTCTGTTTGAGGGGACGGTTCCCCAATGTGGTAAAGGTCACAAAACGGGGCCTGCACTGCCACCTACAAACCCAGAAGTGGCCGCAAGGATGGCACTTACGTCCTGTGCACCGTTTCCAGTGCTCCTGGCCCACGGTCAGTAGCTCCTTCACACCATCATCCATGGCTTTGGTGAATTTACCGACAGCATCACACTTCTGTTCTCTGTGGGGTGAAACACAAGACGGCAGGTCCTTGACTTTGCCACCACATGGTCAGTGTGAGGTGCAAGACGAGAAAAATCAACACGGTCAGAGACACATGCACCAAACATAACCACGGGCAGTGGTTTTCTGGCACTGTAGCAACGCCCTTTACTCAGGCTTGAAGGGGCACTTGGGCGGCTCAGTCGGGTAAGTGCCCAATTTCGGCTCAGGTTTCAGCTCGCTTTCGGCTCAGGTCATGATCTCGTGGCTTGTGGGACCGAGCTCTGCATCAGGCTCTGCGCTGACAGCACAGAGCCTACTTGGGATTCTCTCTCTCTCTCTCTCTCTCTCTCTCTCTTTCTCTGACCCACCCCCACTTGTACTGTCTCTCTCTCTCAGAATAAACAAACTTAAAAAAAATTACCTAAAAATCTGCCATTTAAATCTTAACTCTGCTTCTGTTCCCCCTCAATTCCCTGTGAATTTTAACTAAAATCATTCTAAAGGAAATGAAATCGTGGTTTCGTGAATATCTTATTTGGTGGAGGTACCATTGGGTAGTTTATTCATTCATTCCAGTAAGTACTTCAATGAATCGGAGAAAGTGACCTGGATACACAACCATCTGAGTGATACCGAACAACTCAGTTCTTTGAGGATATAAAAAATGCCAACCTGAAAAAATCATCCCAACATAATGCTAAATGAAAAAAAAAAAAAAAA